CACACACATTTTTAATATAATCCTGATGTCAGTAAATGTGACTCATTACATCACTGATGACTCATTAACTTTTAATAATAACAAAAGGCCTGACATATTAAAAGTAGAATTTTGTTTAGACCACAGGTACGTCACTTTAGTTCCTGAGACGGAGCGTCAGATGGACTTTTATAGTCATATTCGCACAGATGGTCTAGCCAGAAGAATCGAGAAGCCTTTTGAAATGACAGAAACCTTTGAAGATCGCACTGACTTCCTCTTTTATCGACATGCTGTTTACGGAAAGCAAATCAAAGTGATTCGGGCTGGAGAGGCTCTTGAACAACGGCCTCTACAGGTAATGCTCTCTCAACAAACAGCTTCAACCATTAAGCAGTTTAACCTAATAGTATCTTACAGGTATAACATTAACCAACAATATACTAGTGGCCTTGCTAACAAAAAAACATCCAAAAGATAGGGAAACTGGGTCAATGAAATTTTGTTTGGGGTCTCCAACAGAGGGTGGAGGAGCGGTTTCACAGAGATCATTCTAAGCCGGCAAGTAAAGATGTGGCTGAACGCATCTTTATGGTGTCGGACAGACGGATCCAGGTGACTTTTCATCTCGAGGACGACAGGATCATCCCAGCTTGGCTCAACTTCATCAAACCCAAAGAAGCGGCAGACTCACAGAAAGCACAAGCTTTTACGCCACAGATGGTGTCTGGCTTTCAGGTCTGACGTCATGTCAAAAATGTTTTGGTTGATTCCATAAGCCATAGGTTATACGACTGTTTTATTGGCACGTTAAAATGATAAAACAAAGATTTCGAAACAGAACAAAACGTTACAAGAAAAAAATTCTCAAGAAAATAAACTCAACAGGCCTTTTTATGATAATAGTATCAAAGTTAAAAGAGTAAAATCATAGCAAGACACTTAAAGTGGTAATATTTTATGAGAATAAAGTAAAAATAAATTAAATTAAATTATGAGAAATAACTGAAAGCAAAGGACATTTCTGTTTTTGTCAAGTCACAATGCATAACCCCACCCATTGGACCAAATTTCTGGATTTTAAAGATATGGTTGACTCAGAAATGAAAATTCTGCCTAAATAAATAAATACATGTAAAAAATGATTAGGTGAAATGTCCAATAGTCTCATTACACTTTGACAAGAAATAATTGAAAGCAAAGGACATTTCTGTTTTTGTCAAGTCACAATGCATAACCCCACCCACAGTAAAATCTCATTGGACCAAATTTCTGGATTTTAAAGATATCGTTGACTCAGAAATGAAAATTCTGCCTAAATAAATAAATACATGTAAAAAATGATTAGGTGAAATGTCCAATAGTCTCATTACACTTTGACAAACTGGTGTGCGAATTCGTATCGTGGTGTGCGAGATTTGTATCGAATCGCCTTTTTACGATCTTCTTTGTATAATTTCAGTCGTACATTTGTAGATTTATGACCCGCTAATTCCACACTGAGGGTTATGTTTAGGGGTGTAGTTTATTAGAAATCATATGATCATTGTATGAGTTAGTGTGAACTTGCAACTTAAAGAAATCGTTGACTTTACAAAGTTCGTTAAAAAATCGTTGACTCAGAAATGAAAATTCTGTCCAATAAAGAAAAGAAAAGAGTAGATGATTGGGTGACGTGTCCAACAGAGTCTCATGACAATTCTTAACTGGCGAATTCGTATAATCTAATTTGTACGTTTTTTTGTACAACCTGCTGAGTGGGAAATTCGTACAAATTTTCAAATTTGTAAAATAGTTCCGGTTTCTTGTGAGATCATTTTTGCCGCAGATAGAAAAATTGAATGAAAATGGTGTTATGGTTTATATTTTGTGTTTGCGTTTACATCATGTTATATTTTGCGTCTTGAGGTGGATCCTTCTACGAAACCCTACAAGAACTTGCAGTTATATGAAATGCTTGTGGAATTGATGAGAGAAGAGGAAAATGTTGAACTTCGTATCAGAGATTCAGAAAAAGAGGTACTGCAGTTCACAAGCAGCATTATAAAAACATCTTCATCTAGCCAATCGCGTTGACGTTAGCATGTTTGCTTCAGGTTAGGTCCATCCTTTCTTCAAGAGAAAAAGAGGACAGTAATAATGACCTGCTGATCTCTATCTACAACCCTACGAGGAACGAAACGGCCCGTCTGCACATGGAAGAAAAGGTGAATCGAGGCTTTAATCAGTCAGCCACTTTCATCACACTGATCCAAACTCCCACCTACCTCTGGTTCCTTTTGTTCCTCAGGAACGTATGGCTAAAGAAAAGAAGCAGCGGCAGAAAGAGAAAGAGCTGGACCTACTGGCTCCATCCCAGGTCCGACTGGGACTCCCAGAAGTCCTCACACGGCAGGATGCGCTTCAGCTGAAGACAGACTGTCTGAATGAGTTTAAACAGCAGCTCTTTAACAAAGCCAGCCTCATCCAGAGCAGAATCGAAAAGGCACGTTAGATCATTCAATAAGATTTAGCACCTTCTGTGTACATAAATTCTAAATTGTGTACAAACATAAAACAGAAGATAGCTAACAGAACATCAGCAGCAGTTACAATCTGATTGGATGAATTTGAATGTTTGACTCCACCCCCTTAAAGGCACAGAAACAATATAATCTTTGGTTTGTTACTTGACCTGGATAAGAGGGCCAGAAAGAAAGCTTCTAGTGAACTTGTTTGTTCAGGAGACAGAGGAGTTGCAGAAGAAGCAGCTGTGGTACCAGAAGAACTATCTCACTATGTCCAATGAGGACGAGGACGATTACCTCGCCTACTGCTCTGATGCCATGTTCAGGATCCACGTTCTCAAAATGAGACTCATTCGGTACGCACCTTAAATCATTTGCTGACTAATACACTTATGACAACATGACCTTTTTGTAGTATCAAGTTTTTCAAGATGGCACAAAGCCAAGCTTTGGAAGTGTATGGGCAGATCTTTGCCTTGTAAACAAGCGTGTTGGTACATTTTGTTTTAGAAACACACGAGTAAATCTGTATATTGTTTTTGTAGACACAAGGAAAGAGCGCCTCAGAAGTATCTGACACTGGAGGAGAAACTAAAAAGACATGCAAGGTTGGCCAGTCACTTGTTGTAACAAGACAAGTGCATCCTAGTGTACGACTCCACCTATCCCAGAACGTCACATATGACCTCAATAAAGTTTTTTGTTGCATCATTTGCGATAGTGGTTTCTTTTTGTTCTGATAAAGGTCAAGAAACAGACAATATCTGATAAACTACACGAAAAAGTGACTATGCCACAAGTATACACTACTTTTCTTAAGTTTGGGCTCTGTAAGATTTAAATATATTTTGGTTTTGAAAGAATTATGCTCACCATAGCTGCATTTATTTGATCAAAAAATACAGTAAAAAACATATAGTAATGTTGTTGGCACCGATAGCCTGGTGGCAGTGTGCCAACATATAAAGCTGTTGCACTTTGGGCGTCCCGAGTTTGAGTCCCAGCTCATGGACCTTTCCTATTCTCACCCTTCCTTTCGCTTTCTGTCAATTAACTGTCCTATCCAAATAAAGGCTAAAAACGGCAAGAAATAAATAAAATGTAGTACTGTGAAATAGATTTTTAATTTAAAATGTTAATATTTATGTAATTTATTCCTGTGACTTCAGTGTCACATAAACCTTCAGAAATCATTCTGATTTGTTGCTCCAGAAAATTAGTTAAACGGTTGTGCTGCGTAATATTTTTGTCGAAACCGACATCGTTTCAGGTTTTTTGACGCAGTTATTGTTGATAAACCGTTATAGTTTTGTTAACATTTTGAATTAGAATTTTATTAGTAAACTTTATTAAAGTTTTGTTTCCGTTTTAAAGTTTCAGTAACTTTGTTTTTACTATCTTGTTCTAGTTATTTTAGTACTTCAACAAACTAAAATGAGAAATGTCTCGGTAATGATTTTTAGTTAACAATAACCCTTCTTTGAATAAAGTTAAAAAAATAACAGCATTGGATTTTTTTTGTAACAATGTGACTTTTACGGTTCCTTTTTTAATGCATATTTAATGCATGTTTGCA